GTAGTACAACAGTGTTCAAGACAGTGACCACAGAGGTAGTACAACAGTGTTCAAGACAGTGACCACAGAGGTAGTACAACAATGTTCAAGACAGTGACCACAGAGGTAGTACAACAGTGTTCAAGACAGTGACCACAGAGGTAGTACAACAATGTTCAAGACAGTGACCACAGAGGTAATACAACAGTGTTCAAGACAGTGACCATAGGGGTAGTACAACAATGTTCAAGACAGTGACCACAGAGGTAGTACAACAGTGTTCAAGACAGTGACCACAGAGGTAGTACAACAGTGTTCAAGACAGTGACCACAGAGGTAGTACAACAGTGTTCAAGACAGTGACCACAGAGGTAGTACAACAATGTTCAAGACAGTGACCATAGGGGTAGTACAACAATGTTCAAGACAGTGACCACAGAGGTAGTACAACAATGTTCAAGACAGTGACCACAGAGGTAGTACAACAATGTTCAAGACAGTGACCACAGAGGTAGTACAACAATGTTCAAGACAGTGACCACAGAGGTAGTACAACAGTGTTCAAGACAGTGACACAGAGGTAGTACAAACAGTGTTCAAGACAGTGACCACAGAGGTAGTACAACAATGTTTCAAGACAGTGACCACAGAGGTAGTACAACAGTGTTCAAGACAGTGACCACAGAGGTAGTACAACAGTGTTCAAGACAGTGACCACAGAGGTAGTACAACAATGTTCAAGACAGTGACCACAGAGGTAGTACAACAGTGTTCAAGACAGTGACCACAGAGGTAGTACAACAGTGTTCAAGACAGTGACCACAGAGGTATTACAACAATGTTCAAGACAGTGACCACAGAGGTAGTACAACAGTGTTCAGGACAGTGACCACAGAGGTAGTACAACAGTGTTCAAGACAGTGACCATAGGGGTAGTACAACAGTGTTCAAGACAGTGACCACAGAGGTAGTACAACAGTGTTCAGGACAGTGACCACAGAGGTAGTACAACAGTGTTCAAGACAGTGACCACAGAGGTAGTACAACAGTGTTCAAGACAGTGACCACAGAGGTAGTACAACAAGTTCAAGACAGTGACCACAGAGGTAGTACAACAGTGTTCAGGACAGTGACCACAGAGGTAGTACAACAGTGTTCAAGACAGTGACCATAGGGGTAGTACAACAGTGTTCAAGACAGTGACCACAGAGGTAGTACAACAGTGTTCAGGACAGTGACCACAGAGGTAGTACAACAGTGTTCAAGACAGTGACCACAGAGGTAGTACAACAGTGTTCAAGACAGTGACCACAGAGGTAGTACAACAGTGTTCAGGACAGTGACCACAGAGGTAGTACAACAGTGTTCAAGACAGTGACCACAGAGGTAGTACAACAGTGTTCAAGACAGTGACCACAGAGGTAGTACAACAGTGTTCAGGACAGTGACCACAGAGGTAGTACAACAGTGTTCAGGACAGTGACCACAGAGGTAGTACAACATGTTTCAAGACAGTGACCACAGAGGTAGTACAACAGTGTTCAGGACAGTGACCACAGAGGTAGTACAACAGTGTTCAAGACAGTGACCACAGAGGTAGTACAACAGTGTTCAAGACAGTGACCACAGAGGTAGTACAACAGTGTTCAAGACAGTGACCACAGAGGTAGTACAACAGTGTTCAAGACAGTGACCACAGAGGTAGTACAACAGTGTTCAAGACAGTGACCACAGAGGTAGTACAACAGTGTTCAAGACAGTGACCACAGAGGTAGTACAACAGTGTTCAAGACAGTGACCACAGAGGTAGTACAACAGTGTTCAAGACAGTGACCACAGAGGTAGTACAACAGTGTTCAAGACAGTGACCACAGAGGTAGTACAACAGTGTTCAAGACAGTGACCACAGAGGTAGTACAACAGTGTTCAAGACAGTGACCAAGGGGTAGTACAACATGTTCAAGACAGTGACCATAGGGGTAGTACAACAGTGTTCAAGACAGTGACCACAGAGGTAGTACAACAGTGTTCAAGACAGTGACCACAGAGGTAGTACAACAGTGGTTCAAGACCAGTGACCACAGAGGTAGTACAACAGTGTTCAAGACAGTGACCATAGGGGTAGTACAACAGTGTTCAAGACAGTGACCACAGAGGTAGTACAACAGTGTTCAAGACAGTGACCATAGGGGTAGTACAACAGTGTTCAAGACAGTGACCATAGGGGTAGTACAACAGTGTTCAAGACAGTGACCACAGAGGTAGTACAACAGTGTTCAAGACAGTGACCACAGAGGTAGTACAACAGTGTTCAAGACAGTGACCACAGAGGTAGTACAACAGTGTTCAAGACAGTGACCATAGGGGTAGTACAACAGTGTTCAAGACAGTGACCACAGAGGTAGTACAACAGTGTTCAAGACAGTGACCATAGGGGTAGTACAACAAAAGGTGTTTATAAGAAGGCCTGCCAAAGGCAGTCGTCTGTAAGATAAGAGAAGGAAGATGTTCATATTTATCTCATAGCTTTCCAGGAAACGAATTTATGAAGTATGTTGATTGTAGCTCTCAGTGTGTGTACCCACTTGTGGTTGCAGGGGTCGATTCATAGCTCCTGGCCCAGCCTTCTCGCTGGTCGCTACTAGGTCCACTCTCTCCCTGTGCCATGACTTTTATCATACCTCTTTTTAAAGCTATGTATGGGTCCTGCCTCCACTAGAACACTCGTGTGTGTGCACTCGCCTACTTGTGGTTGCAAGGGTCGATTCATAGACTCGTGTGTGTGTGTGTGTGTGTGTGTGTGTGTGTGTGTGTGTGTGTGTGTTGTGTGTGTGTGTGTGTGTGTGTGTGTGTATGTGTGTGTGTATGTGTGTTCGTAGTTAACTTCAACTTTGTCCCTACCTCACACATTCCACTTATTTTTCACTCTCACACTGAAGAAATTCTTATCTATAGGCCTACGGCTCCTTTATATGTGATTTTCACCTCTGTGTCCTTGTTTGTGGGGCTCTGGTAACGGTCTTATCACCTACCCTCTCCATGCCAAGTAGTATCAACCTGTGATGAATGGTTTGAAAAACCGACAAGTTGAAGATTGAGACATTTATGCTGCATATGGGAATCTTTATTCAGGAAACGTTTCGCCACACATTGGCTTCATCAGTCCAATACAAAGAGGAAGGCGTAAGGAGAGGAGGAGAATGAGGTAATCAGTCCCTCAACCTGGAGTCGATGTGTTCAGTCCATCAATCTTGTAGAATGTACAGCATAGGGCCGTAGACGTGGCTTATATACTGTAGTGAGGTGACGTGAAGCAGATGGAGGCGGGGTCATAGTGGTACCATCCACTAGTCGAAGTAGGTCTTCGTCCAAAGGTTGAACAAGTGTTGAAGAATTCTTTGTAACAAGATCCCATGATGCTGCCTTCCTCTTTGTATTGGACTGATGAAGCCACTGTGTGGCGAAACGTTTCCTGAATAAAGATTCCCATATGCTGCATAAGTGTCTTAGTATCAACCTGCCCACATGTTTTCGTAGTCTACCTGGAGTCTGCGATACTGACAGACTCCAGTTCGAATCTCCTATCTGTGGATTGTTACAAGCGTCTGTTGCGTTTTCTGCTTCATATTAACCTGGCTTAAGAACATAAGAATGGAGGAACACTGCAGAAAGCCCACTGGCCCATACAAGGCAGGTCCTTATCACACACACGCCTACCCAAAAATTTACTCCCGTGCCCACTACACCAATCAAACCCAGCCCCTCCCACTCACATACGTACCCAATCTCCTTTCGTCTAAGTTTAAAGTAACATACCATAACTTTACATAACGTTAAATCAATAAGAAAAAAAACAGCAAAGGAATTGACTTTGAGAACAGCGCAAGAGAATTTGCTTTCCGAAAAAATGAGGATAGTGTGGAGAACAGTAGGAAACAACATGTGTCGACCATCTGACATTTCCCATCGTTGTGTCTTATCAAGTGAGTGGAGATGGAAGCACATGATGCCTCACCCAGCATGTGGAAATCAAGGCGAGACTGGTGCCACAGGGAACAAGTAAGTAACAGAGGTGGATAATGAGAACTATCAAAACTAGAGAAAGAGTGCCACTGGTGCTGCTTATCAAATTGTTATCTCTCATTTAGAGTGTTGTTCAGTGTTGACGGCTTGGTCTGCACACTGCCTTAACGTACGGGAGCGAGAAATATGGGAAGTAGTGTAAAATAGACAGTGAAAAGCAGGGGCGCTGTTTGAACATTAAGAGAACACTGTATCAACATCTTTAACCTACTGCCAACAGATATCAACCTGTTACCAGCAGATATCAAGATAATACCTGTATATATCAACCAAGCTTCCTACAACCTGTTACCTAGCAGTATATAGGTACCAGAAAGTTGGTTGACTGTCGTGGTTCGCATACATGGTTGAGCACCTAAGGGGGTGTAATAATAATAATATAATTGCAACTTGGGTTAAATTTATCCTCAGGATGCCTCCCACACCAATTCACTAACATCCAGGTATCTAATTACTGTTAGGTGAACAGTGACAGGGCTCAAATTAAGGACACTCGGTATGTAAGCTGAGTACGCTACCATTCTAGCTACGGAACATCTCAATGAAAATAAGCCACATTAACTGGCTTCCGTGGGGTTTCCTGGGTTATTAACCCAGGTTAACCCAAGTTAACATTCATACCGTATGTGATCTGACCCCTGTCCAGGTCGCAGACAAGGTGCTGTAAGGGCTTGATACGGTGTAAGCCGTCAGGGGCTCTATAAACCACAAGAAGCAGTATAGATCTTTCTGATCAACCAAATTTAAGAATTTGGTTGTCAGACTATGGCATCAATAATAACAATACTTTGTAACTCCTGCGTCCTGATAGGCTTATCTTCTAACTCTCTGAGCAGTATTTTACCCAGTGAAAATTATACATAAGCGAATAGCCGGAAACATTTGTTTTTGGTACGACCGTCTATTGGACTCTGACCCATGATGTTTGGTGAAGCTCTGTACCTTAATGGACATACGTCTTACTGAATGTATCAGCGCAGTACCAACAACTAAGTGAATAATGGCACATTAAGAAGACAATCCTTTAATTACCATCAAAATCTGCGTATAAAGTACACTGAAGATTATGCTGATGCCCGGCAGTAAATGACACGATTGGACAATTTGGGTTCCATGATGGTGGCCTCGTTGCCTGGGTGATAAGATTAGTGAGGCTGGGTATAAGGAAAGCTGTGCGCTACGAAGAGTTATCTTGCTGTGAGACGCACACGAAGACAGGATGGTGCTGAAGGCTGTGGTGACGTGCGTGATGGTGCTCAGTGTGGTGACTCTAGCCTTCACAATTTCGGAGTCAAAGGACTACATACCCCAGCCTCGAGCATGGCCTTGCCCTAACAGTACAGATATCTTGCCCTGCACCTGCACATCTACTCAAGAAACGGATCTTAAAATTGATTGCTCGCTGGTAAAGAGTAACGACGAGTTAGCGAGGGTCTTCCAGTCTGTGTTTCCTTTCAGCGAATTCTTGGAGCTAAATATAGAACAGAATCCCAATGATCCGGCCTATAACTTGAATGCTATCGAGCCAAATGTATTCAACGGACTATCCTTCGAAAGAATTATCATCAGAGGAACTAAGTTGACAGCAGTGGAGGAACAAGCCTTCACAGACTCCTACAATTACCTCAACTATCTCAACCTCGCAAACAATCAGTTAAATAGATTCCCCTTCGAGACACTGTCGAATTATATTAGGCTCTCCAGCCTAGTGCTGGATGACAACGAATTGTCGGAACTTCCATCTATCACCTCGAGTTCCCTGCAGTCTATCAGCGTCAGTGGAAACCCACATATGAAGTTTGACTCTCCTACTCTTTTCGAAGGCGCCCCTCTATTAAGCAGAATTTCCCTGGCAAGAAACAACATTATCAATTCCACCGTGGGCTTACTGGTACCTCTAAATTACTCGGCGATTATCGATCTGTCGGGAAACGAGTTAACATTTATTGATGAGAATACCTTCAAGCCTCCTGGTGATACACTTCTACAGATCATTCTCGACCACAATAAAATCAAGGACATTCGCCACGACGCAGTTCACGGTGAGTTAAATTCATTTTATAACCAACTGAGCCATGATCCTTTCATATTCACTGGCAGGAAATTGTCAAGTCTTCACAACACGATAATACAATTCCAGGGAATATAATTACTTAGTAATTGACTATAATTCTTCGATAGGGAATTTACAAGTCATCCATTTCATTAACCTATCGTAAAATAAATTTGAAATTATAGCAACTAGCCTTAAAAACTAATAATATCGTTTTCCCAATGTAAATATCCTGTTTGTAATAATAATAATAATAATAATAATAATAATAATAATAATAATAAATATGAAGATTAAGACATGTTCAACACTTAGGTGTCTTTATTGATGGAACGTTCCGCCTACACAGTAGGCTTCTTCAGTCAAATACAGAAACAGCAGGTGAAGTAGTAAAATAAAGATATAATTAGTCCACCAACCTTGGAGAAACAATATTTGAGGTGGTCAGTCCCTCAGCCTGGGGAAGAGTTCAGAACTCTACTCCAGGCTGAGGGACTGACCACCTCAAATATTTCTCCAAGGTTGATGGACTGATTACATCATCTTTATTTCACAACTACTGCTCCCTTTATATTTGACTGAAGAAGCCTAGTATTTAGACGAAATATTTCATCAATAAAGACACCCAAGTGTTATACATGTGTATTAATCTTCAACTTATCGGTATTTTATTCCAACAACAACGATAATAATGTGTGATCTCTGCTACACAGGTCTGATGAAGACCGCTCACTTCTCCATGACTGGCAACCAGATGACCTCAATCAGCAAGGACGTGTGGAAGACAATCTTTGACCAGCTGCCTAATGGGGCTGTCGACCTCTCAGGTTAGTTCAACCTCCTACCTTCGTCAAACTTTATTTCACCTAATTCTTCAAAACTGAGATAGGTTAGGTTTGTCAGGAAACAGGACAAGTGTTTCCTGACGCGGGTCTTAGTCATATGAGGACCCACAGTTGGAGCTTTTGGTCATCTGAGCAAAGCCTTCCGCTGGCTTACCCCTCCAGCACTCTAAAAGATATGGTCATACTACTTTCACTTTCTCCTATATTATTATATGCAAAATATATATTGTAATTTATACAAATTATTATGGCTCTAGAAAGATGTTTAATTGTAGATAACTCAACAATTTGTGAAAAATTAAATTTTGTGTATATATGCCCTGAATGGTGTATATATCTCAGTATATATACACTCAGTATTAATTTTAATCTCTTTCTGGGGCAGATATTTCCAATATTGTTGCTATGTACATATATAATTTCTACCTTCGAAGGAGATAAGTCCATATCATCAAATTACAGCCCACTAAACAGCACTAGATGGGAAATTATATACTTTATATAAGACTTAAATAGACATATATGTGTAGTTGAAGACTTGGCGATATGTGGAGGCAATGATTATCAATGCATTCGAGATTAATGTATATTTTGCATATGCAGTAATTTGAAATGAAGAATGGTATTGTTGCAGATAACCCACTGCTCTGCGGCTGTGATATGGCTTGGCTGTTCATTGAGGAAGGCAATACCTATCTTAACCTTCTCACCGACACTACTAAATGCTACGATGGTACGCAAGTGCGTTACCTGGACCCGCAGTACTTCACGGTGCAGTGTACTTAATGTATGAGAGGGACTCCCAGAGCACTCCCTAGCAACACTATCTTAATGTAACTTGAAACACTCCCTAGCAACACTATCTTAATGTAACTTGAAACACTCCCTAGCAACACTATCTTAATGTAACTTGAAACACTCCCTAGCAACACTATCTTAATGTAACTTGAAACACTCCCTAGCAACACTATCTTAATGTAACTTGAAACATTCCCTAGCAACACTGTCTTAATGTAACTTGAAACATTCCCTAGCAACACTATCTTAATGTAACTTGAAACATTCCCTAGCAACACTATCTTAATGTAACTTGAAACACTCCCTAGCAACACTATCTTAATGTAACTTGAAACATTCCCTAGCAACACTATCTTAATGTAACTTGAAACATTCCCTAGCAACACTATCTTAATGTAACTTAAAACACTCCCTAGCAACACTATCTTAATGTAACTTGAAACACTCCCTAGCAACACTATCTTAATGTAACTTAAAACATTCCCTAGCAACACTATCTTAATGTAACTTAAAACATTCCCTAGCAACACTATCTTAATGTAACTTGAAACATTCCCTAGCAACACTATCTTAATGTAACTTGAAACATTCCCTAGCAACACTATCTTAATGTAACTTAAAACATTCCCTAGCAACACTATCTTAATGTAACTTAAAACATTCCCTAGCAACACTATCTTAATGTAACTTGAAACATTCCCTAGCAACACTATCTTAATGTAACTTAAAACATTCCCTAGCAACACTATCTTAATGTAACTTAAAACATTCCCTAGCAACACTATCTTAATGTAACTTAAAACATTCCCTAGCAACACTATCTTAATGTAACTTGAAACATTCCCTAGCAACACTATCTTAATGTAACTTGAAACATTCCCTAGCAACACTATCTTACACTGCATTCCCAATAAATCTTCTAAATTTATACTTAATTACTACATTACATTAAATGTTTGTCTTCATACACAGAGTATATAACTAATTATTTTTTCAAATGTTAAATTATCCTCTAATATATGTGTGTGTGTGTGTGTGTGTGTGTGTGTGTGTGTGTGTGTGTGTGTGTGTGTGTGTGTGTGTGTGTATTAACATCACAGTAAACAGGTGATATCACAATATGCAAAATAACCACTGTGAAAAAATAATAAATTTACAAGAGCTTTCGTGATTTTTACAGTTCCCTGATGATGTGAGAAATGACGAAATCGCTTGGAAATCCATTATTGATCACAGTGGACACAGCCATCAATGGTTGTTAGAAGTTCTTAACTGGTCAATGACTCTCTGAGAAACTGCTTGTATGAAATTCGTTTACGTACAGGTAATTTGGGTGAGATGCAGCAAAGGTAATTTTTACTTACCAAATTCTGTTGCACCTTTGCTGTAAGTGGGACTTAAGTCACAGGAATGAGACTCCTCCGTTGTGGGATTTAAGTCACATTAGGTCACAGGAATGAGACTCCTCCGTTGTGGGATTTAAGTCACATTAGGTCACAGTAATGAGACTCCTCCGTTGTGGGATTTAAGTCACATTAGGTCACAGGAATGAGACTCCTCCGTTGTGGGATTTAAGTCACATTAGGTCACAGGAATGAGACTCCTCCGTTGTGGGATTTAAGTCACATTAGGTCACAGTAATGACTCCTCCGTTGTGGGATTTAAGTCACATTAGGTCACAGGAATAAGACTCCTTCGTCGACCAGTAAACCTCAAACCACTCACTAAGCGGGACCTGGAATTATTTAATCACATTTAACACATCAGTAGTTTCGGTAAATTTATTTTGGGGTGGACTACACATTTTTTATGACCAACTGCAAGAGAGAGAGAGAGAGAGAGAGAGAGAGAGAGAAGGAGAGAGAGGAGAGAGAGAGAGAGAGAGAGAGAGAGAGAGAGAGAGAGAGAGAGAGAGAGATTATAACAATAATTATGAGAGCACTAAACCCGTAGGATTATACAGCGCATGTAGGGGGGTGAAAGGTATTCAGGGTCAATTCAGGGAACTGGAGCACAGATTCAATTCCCTAGATCAAGAGCCCCTGATCAGCATCAAGGAACCTCCCTTGAGAGGGGGGGGGTATAATAATTAATTTCAACTCTACAGCTACACGTGGTAAACATCCTAAATTCCAGGTATTAACTTACCAATTTGGACCACAGGTAAAATATTAATTTCTGTGGGAACTGCCCCTTGCAAACTTAGCAAGCGCTGACTCACGAAATTCTAATGACACGATTGGAAACAAGCCATACCACGGGTGGAGTTTGAACCCGCGGTCAGTCATGTTGACTTGAGCTAGAGATCGTCACGGCCACGCTAGCGGGAGATTCGTCTGCAAAAACTTGCATTTGTGGTCACAGTGGTGCCTATACTAACCTTCCTATGGTGTAGAATATATACCGGTCAGGAGTTTTGACTCTGACCGCGGGTTCTATCCCACCCGTGGTATGGTTTGTTTAGCAAGTGCTACTGACGTGACTGTATAGAAAGTACAGTTAACTCACTTGGTGGTAGGGATAAGATTTTCTTCGGATTTTTAACCCTGGAAGGTTAGCCACCCAGAATAACCCAAGAAAGTCAGTGCGTCATCAAGGACTGTCTAACATATTTCCATTGTTGTCTTTAATCTTGTCCCCCAGGATGCCACCCACACCAGTCCACTAACACCCAGGATGCCACCCACACCAGTCCACTAACACCCAGGATGCCACCCACACCAGTCCACTAACACCCAGGATGCCACCCACACCAGTCCACTAACACCCAGGATGCCACCCACACCAGTCCACTAACACAGGATGCCACCCACACCAGTCCACTAACACCCAGGATGCCACCCACACCAGTCCACTAACACCCAGGATGCCACCCACACCAGTCCACTAACACACAGGATGCCACCCACACCAGTCCACTAACACCCAGGATGCCACCCACACCAGTCCACTAACACCCAGGATGCCACCCACACCAGTCCACTAACACCCCAAGATGCCACCCACACCAGTCCACTAACACCCAAGATGCCACCCACACCAGTCCACTAACACCCAAGATGCCACCCACACCAGTCCACTAACACCCAGGATGCCACCCACACCAGTCCACTAACACCCAGGATGCCACCCAAAACCAGTCCACTAACCCCGGAGCCACCCACACCAGCCCACTAACACCCAGGATGCCACCCACACCAGTCCACTAACACCCAGGATGCCACCCACACCAGTCCACTAACACCCAGGATGCCACCCACACCAGTCCACTAACACCCAGGATGCCACCCACACCAGTCCACTAACACCCAGGATGCCACCCACACCAGTCCACTAACACCCAGGATGCCACTCACACCAGTCCACTAACACCCAGATGCCACCCAAACCAGTCCACTAACCCCCAAAGGATGCCACCCACACCATTTCCACTAACACCAGGATGCCACCACACCAGCCCACTAACACCCAGGATGCCACCCCACCAGTCCACTAACACCCAGGATCCCACCCACACCAGTCCACTAACACCCAGGATGCCACCCACACCAGTCCACTAACACCCAGGATGCCACCCACACCAGTCCACTAACACCCAGGATGCCACCCACACCAGCCCACTAACACCCAGGATGCCACTCACACCAGTCCCTAACACCCAGGATGCCACTCACACCAGTCCACTAACACCCAGATGCCACCCACACCAGTCCACTAACACCCAGGATGCCACCCACACCAGTCCACTAACACCCAGGATGCGACCCACACCAGTCCACTAACTCCCAGGATGCCACCCACACCAGTCCACTAACACCCAGGATGCCACCCACACCAGTCCACTAACACCCAGGATGCCACCCACACCAGTCCACTAACACCCAGGATGCGACCCACACCAGTCCACTAACACCCAGGATGCCACCCACACCAGTCCACTAACACCCAGGATGCGACCCACACCAGTCCACAAACCACCCAGGATGCCCCTCACACCAGTCCACTAACCCCCAGGATGCGACCCACACAGCCCACTAACACCCAGGATGCCACTCACACAGTCCACTAACACCCAGGATGCGACCCACGCCAGTCCACTAACACCCAGGATGCCACTCACACCAGTCCACTAACACCCAGGATGCGACCCACACCAGTCCACTAACACCCAGGATGCCACTCACACCAGTCCACTAACACCCAGGATGCGACCCACCCAGTCCACAAACACCCAGGATGCGACCCACACCAGTCCACTAACACCCAGGATGCCACCCACACCAGTCCACTAACACCCAGGATGCCACTCACACCAGTCCACTAACACCCAGGATGCGACCCACACCAGTCCACTAACACCCAGGATGCGACCCACACCAGTCCACTAACACCCAAGATGCCACCCACACCAGTCCACTAACACCCAAGAAGCCCACCCCCCACCAGTCCACTAACACCCAAGATGCCACCCAAAACCAGCCCACTAACACCAAGATCCCACCCACACCAGTCCACTAACACCCCAAGATGCCACCCAAAACCAGTCCACTAACACCCAAGATGCCACCCACACCAGTCCACTAACACCCAAGATGCCACCCACACCAGTCCACTAACACCCAGGATGCCACCCACACCAGTCCACTAACACCCAGGATGCCACCCACACCAGTCCACTAACACCCGGGATGCCACCCACACCAGTCCACTAACACCCAGGATGCCACCCAAACAGTCCACAAAACACCCAGGATGCCACCCACACCAGTCCATTAACACCCAGGATGCTACCCACGCCAGTCCACTAACACCCAGGATGCCACCCACACCAGACCACTAACACCCAGGATGTGACCTACACCAGTCCACTAACACCCAGGATGCTACCCACGCCAGTCCACTAACACCCAGGATGCCACCCACACCAGTCCACTAACACCCAGGATGCCACCCACACCAGTCCACTAACACCCAGGATGCCACCCACACCAGTCCACTAACACCCAGGTACCTACTTGCTGCTAGGTGGACAGGACAACAGGTGTAAGGAGCTGGATGTCCCCTGACCCCCAGGACACCGTGACATCTCCAGTGACCAGATACTCACCCACAGATTACTACTTCGCCCCACCGGCGGCCAACTATGTTGCTAGAAATTGTAGATTTCGCCTCACTACGGGTGTGCCATGTAGGGACGAGTATCCTGTACTTTGGGAAACTGCTCAAAGTTATCTTGTTCCCCAGCCAAGTGTATTAACGTCATTTTTCTGGCTGTAATAACGTCACGTCTTCCCCCGTTGGTGTCTGAGGTGCTACTAATGGCGTCTCTGTTTGAAATTCCCCTCAAGGAAGGTTCCTTGATGTTGGTGAGGGGCTCTTGATTTAGGGAATTAGATCTGTGCTCCAGTTCCCCGAATTAAGCCTGAATGCCTTCCACATCCCCCCCTCAGGCGCTGTATAATCCTCCGGGTTTAGCGCTTCCCCCTTGATTATAATAATAATAATCTGTTTGAAATTTGAATCATCAGTTCTAACTGATATTCTACATTAAACCTAGTCCTATTTTAGGTCCTAAAAGTGTATTAATACCTACGGTTAGTTACTACTATTTTTACGTACGTAAAACTTCCTAGAAGGGTAAATATGAACAAATGTGTTCCGTAGCTCGATTGGTAGCGCACTCAGTTCACACACACTGAGGTCCGGGGTTCGAATCTCCGGTATGGCTGGTAAACATTAGGAACGCGTTTCCATAAGACACGTTCTGTCCATGTTCACCTATCAGTATAAAATAGGTACCTGGGTGTTAGTGGACTGGTGTGGGTCGCATCCTGGGACAAAATTGACCTAATTTGCGGGAAATACTCTGCATAACAAGGGTCTTCCTATATAGTAGTATGTCATTGATGTCAGCTATGGTCTGTATACCTTGTACATGTACTGGTAGAAATAAAGATATATCGTAAGGGTTCTTAAATGGAGATATCGAGGGTTGAAGGTAGACACACTTGTTGGATGGTAACATATATTGTCAGACTGAGGTGATGAGGAATGGAGCCCAGCCTTGCCGTGTTCTTGTCTGGATGGTCTGCCGCCGAGTGAGGCCGGGGCAGAGGTACAAGCCTACACATGCGCATCCCGTGACGTCACACAAAGTCACAGGCCTACAAGGGATCTCCTATCTAAAGCACATGGACGATACTAATATGCTATGCTATATAATACAGGGATCAGCAACTATGCTGACAGATATTATTAAGTGTATGTTAAGGGCTCTTAAAGCTTATACTATGAAACGTTCCGTGGAATAAGTTTCCACTGAACATCTTAACGCTACCTGGACAGTTAGCAATACGAAGGCCAACGTAAAAACTAATGTACTAAGGTTAACGTTACATTCTAGGCGTGCTGTATTATTATTATTATTATAATCAAGGGGGAAGTGCTAAACCCGGAGGATTATACATCGCCTCGGGGGGATGTGGAAGGCATTCAGGCTTAATTCGGGGAACTGGAGCACAGATCCAATTCCGTAAATCAAGAGCCCCTCACCAACATCAAGGAACCTTCCTTGAGGGGAACTGGAGCACAGATCCAATTCCGTAAATCAAGAGCCCCTCACCAACATCAAGGAATCTTCCTTGAGGGGAACTGGAGCACAGATCCAATTCCGTAAATCAAGAGCCCCTCACCAACATCAAGGAACCTTCCTTGAGGGGAACTGGAGCACAGATCCAATTCCGTAAATCAAGAGCCCCTCACCAACATCAAGGAACCTTCCTTGAGGGGAACTGGAGCACAGATCCAATTCCGTAAATCAAGAGCCCCTCACCAACATCAAGGAACCTTCCTTGAGGGGAACTGGAGCACAGATCCAATTCCGTAAATCAAGAGCCCCTCACCAACATCAAGGAACCTTCCTTGAGGGGAACTGGAGCACAGATCCAATTCCGTAAATCAAGAGCCCCTCACCAACATCAAGGAACCTTCCTTGAGGGGAACTGGAGCACAGATCCAATTCCGTAAATCAAGAGCCCCTCACCAACATCAAGGAACCTTCCTTGAGGGGAGGCGTGCTGTAGTGATCCACCGGTGTCCTTCCATATTCTCCAAGTTTAACACTCGAGTGCAGCGGTTTCACACATTTTCGTCGCAGTCTGCAGTGGATAACGCTACTGCATCATTTTCTGGTTGTCTGAGGTTGCTCCATTTTAATTTAGCCCTGATGACGATTAATTGAATTAGTCGGTTGTTTTGACCGGTTTTCCACTATTTTTTCCCCTAATGGCGACCTTCCCATCCGTCCGTCTCTCGTCTGCTGGTTCCTTTTTCACTCGTAAATTAATTTTAAACCAACAGCAACACAATTTAAACTTATTTACCTTATAGGAATTGATGCACTATAAATTTGGAAAAATTATATAAAAAAATCTTCACAGGCTCAGTAAAAAGAAGATAACTAAGACAGATATATTAGCCTGAAGTACATTTACTGGGTCGACATTGACCACATTAGACATTGTGGTCGTAACCACAATGGAGTGTTGAAGAATCAGTACTGGAAGTGTTGGAGGAGGGATTGCCTTCCTTATGGCAAACTTGATAAACTGGTAATATTGTGTTGTCAGGGTGAAGTGTTACTGACTAACCTTTAGCAAGTGTTGTGGCACAGGAATAATCTAAATTATTGTGTTGTATTACATTCTAACGCTTGGTTGACCACAAACATTAGTGTAACACAAACACAAGTGTAGTACAAACACTATTGTAACACAAACACTAAATTTATAATCTAAATTGATCTGTAAGAATTACCCCATCTAGATGTCATAGATTCACAAGGATATAAAATTAATTTCTCTGCCGGTCCATTACAGAAAAATACAGCAGTTTCCAAAATATATATTGGAGATAACTATATTTTAATTCATGTCATATGAATTTCTTTTAACGATGGCGTACCAAAAAAAATCAGTAAGCTGGATTCCTTTCTTGTCACCGATGCTGAGACTTTCCAGAGTTAGATTCTCTTTTCTCGGTGGCTGGACTCTGTTTATCGTCAATTATCAGAGTCTGAAGCGCTGAACAGTTGCTAATTACTTCGAATGGGAAAGTAAACTAAAATTTAAAGTAAAAGGACACAAGTGCAACTAATGTGACATTTATTGTGGCAACGTTTCGCTCTCCAGGAGCTTTATCAAGCCATTGATAAAGCTCCTGGAGAGCGAAACGTTGCCACAATAAATGTCACATTAGTTGCACTTGTGTCCTTTTACTTTACATATTGTCGGTAATTCTACCAACTTTATTATAAACTAAAATTATTGTCTGAGAGGTAGAGGCGAGTCTCGTGAGCTAGCCTAGTGTTCATCTTAAATAAAGTTCATCTTGGTACTGCTAATGGTCAGTCGCTCAGACGTTAGGGTATGGAAGGTGGAGGGATCGAGTGTAATTCATGTCATGTTGGGATCATTTGAGTCTTGTTCTGTTTTAAATTCATTTAAATAGGTGAAAGGAAACACTACATTCTCAAATGCTTGAGCTAATTCTTCATTGGTTTCAACTAAAGAGCAGTCTATGCTCAGAGTGTGGTCAAGTTCATCGTAGATACACAGACATGGATAGAAATCGTTAGCATCGGGACATGGCCAGTCCCGAGGCTGTGATCTGGGGTCCTCGCTGGTGATGACTGGAGTCACCACCACACCGAGCACCACCACACACGTCACCACAACCTTCAGCACCATCTAGCAGCCAGTGTCTCCCGGTGTGTCTCAGCAAGATAACTCGTCACAGCACACAACTCTTCTTATACCCAGCCTCACTTATAACACACCACAGAATAAAACCCATCCATGCCTTACAGTAATTAAAAATGTTGACAATATAGGCAGATATTAACACGGAAAAAACTATACTACAAATAAATCAAACTACGTGTATAGGCTCTTAGAATGTTAACCATTCACAACATACTGAAGATGGCAGGTCAAGGTTTGGTTAAAGTCACTTTATACTGAAGACGACTGATCAAGTACCAATATTAGGTCCTCTGGGGTACATTGCCTGCAGGATACAGCGTCGAGCAGTTATTGGGAAGACACCGATCACAGAAAAACTGGACGTCAAGGTCGACGATTTGATTACCACTGCTACAGGTGGTCGTGTCAGGGAAAATTCTGAGATCTATTTGGTTAGGAGAGAACATTATCCAGTCCATGTCGCAGCCACAGTTCAGAGGGTTATCTGAAAACACAATAAACACATTAAATACATAAACTGGATACCTGGAGAGGGTTTCAGGGGGTAACGCCCCCCGTGGCCCGGTCTGTGACCAGACAATTTAAATACCAACCCCGAGGTTATCTGAGAGGAATCATCTATGCCTATCTAGATTAAGAACTTTTGTGTATTATCTTTATAAATCAATTATGGTAAATCAGGTGGTTCTCTTCCCACTCTTCACTTCCCCGGACCACTGCTGGCATGAGAAACATGTGCAGTGAGAAACAATGCCCAGAACACATTATCCCTATAACATTTCACATTATTAGAGCAAAAGTTAGTAACATTGAAAGTAATTATCTTTACGTACATGAGACTATGCTGGAAAAAAGTTGAAAAAATAAACACACGGGAGCGGGGCCAGGAGCTATGTCTCGACCCCTGAAAACATAAACATATAACTACTAGGATATATCTATTAGAAAAAGCTTCCTAAGCATAAACATATAACTACTAGGATATATCTATTAAAAAAAGCTTCCTAATCACTATGACCAAGTGTGTGGCACAGTGGCAGTCTTTCTTAAATCCAGTGCTGACAGTCCCCGCTTTACAGCGCTTCACTTTACAGCATCTCACTAATACAGTGGGTTTCATTTACACCCATTCTTCATTTATTCAGATTTCCTACAATAATTATATTAACTATACGAAGTATACGAAAATATTTTATGTTCTGTATGTATATACATTTTTTAGGCCTAGCTCCAGGGCTCACTTAATATATGATAGTGTCAACATGTTACCAGGATTTTATATGCATTTGAAAGTGAAAAAACGGCTAAGTTTCACTTTACAGCTATTTGTGCTTCAACAACAGTAGCTCAGAACCTAACCTGCTGTATAAGCGGGGCCCTACAGTAGTTTGGAACCTAGCCTGCTGTATAAGCGGGGCCCTACAGTAGTTTGGAACCTAGCCTGCTGTATAAGCGGGACCCTACAGTAGTTTGGAACCTAGCCTGCTGTATAAGCGGGGCCCTACAGTAGTTTGGAACCTAACTGCTGTATAAGCAGGGCCCTACAGTAGTTTGGAACCTAGCCTGCTGTATAAGCAGGGCCCTACAGTAGTTTGGAACCTAACCTGCTGTATAAGCGGGGCCCTACAGTAGTTTGGAACCTAACCTGCTGTATAAGCGGGGCCCTACAGTAGTTTGGAACCTAGCCTGCTGTATAAGCAGGGCCCTACAGTAGTTTGGAACCTAACCTGCTGTATAAGCGGGGCCCTACAGTAGTTTGGAACCTAGCCTGCTGTATAAGCGGGGCCCTACAGTAGTTTGGAACCTAGCCTGCTGTATAAGCGGGGCCCTACAGTAGTTTGGAACCTAGCCTGCTGTATAAGCGGGGCCCTACAGTAGTTTGGAACCTAGCCTGCTGTATAAGCGGGGCCCTACAGTAGTTTGGAACCTAGCCTGCTGTATAAGCGGGACCCTACAGTAGTTTGGAACCTAACCTGCTGTATAAGCGGGGCCCTACAGTAATTTGGAACCTAGCCTGCTGTATAAGCGGGACCCTACAGTAGTTTGGAACCTAGCCTGCTGTATAAGCAGGGCCCTACAGTAGTTTGGAACCTAGCCTGCTGTATAAGCGGGACCCTACAGTAGTTTGGAACCTAGCCTGCTGTATAAGCGGGACCCTACAGTAGTTTGGAACCTAGCCTGCTGTATAAGCAGGGCCCTACAGTAGTTTGGAACCTAGCCTGCTGTATAAGCGGGACCCTACAGTAGTTTGGAACCTAGCCTGCTGTATAAGCGGGACCCTACAGTAGTTTGGAACCTAGCCTGCTGTATAAGCGGGACCCTCCTGTACCTTAAAACCCACTCATAGTCTCAGGCCTCTTAATCTCTCTCTTTTCCTGTCTGCTAAAAAATAGTAGCAGCAGAAATGGCTATAATCATAACCATAATTTTTGAAGGGGTGGAGTGGTAAGCCAGTGGAAGGCCTCGGTCAGATGACCAAAAGCTCCAGCTGTGGGTCATATGACTAAGACCCGCGTCAGGAAACACTTGTCCTATTTCCTGACATCTTCATACCTACCTGTCTATCGCTGTATGTACAATGAGATGTGAATGTCTGTCAATATACACTGAGATGTGTATGTCAGTGATTGTTTTAAATTATGAACAATTTTAATTACTAATGATCCTCATATACTAGACAGACTTTAAAAAGCTTAGCTAACCAGTTGCCTAATTACCTGGCAGCCAATAAGAATACAGGACACTTACCTGCTAGGTCAAGAGTTCCCGTAGGTACAAGTTGAGTAAATAGGTGACTCCACGAGTCCTCGTCCAGTTCAACTACTGTGTTGTTCCTCATTGAGACTACAGCATCAGGAAGCAACCCTGTTGTAGGCGAGGTTGGTAAGTTAGGAACCACATACCTGTGTATGACTACACCTGTGTCCTGTGTATGACCACACACACCTGTGTCCTGTGTATGACCACACACACCTGTGTCCTGTGTATGACCACACACACCTGTGTCCTGTGTATGACCACACACACCTGTGTCCTGTGTATGACCACACACACCTGTGTCCTGTGTATGACCACACACACCTGTGTCCTGTGTATGACCACACACACCTGTGTCCTGTGTATGACCACACACACCTGTGTCCTGTGTATGACCACACACACACACGTGTCAGTGTCCTCTGTGTGTGATGTTTACTCAAACTGTTCATGTGTGACAACGATTATTTATCAGAATTAATAATGAGTTAAAGTGGAGAAGCAGTTTTGGAGAAGCAGTGTTGGAGAAGCAGTGTTGGAAAAGCAATGTTAGAGAAGCAATGCTGGAGAAGCAGTGTTGGAGAAGTAGTACTGGTAGTGTTGGAGGAGGGATTTTCTCCCTTCTGGCAAACTTGATTATCTTGTATTATTGTGTGTTCAGTGTGAAGTGTTACTAACCTTAAGTATCGTTACAACACAAGTATAATCTTAAGTGTTGTGATAATATATATGTGCTACCGTAGGGTTAATATAGCCCTGATGTAGCATTAATATAGCAATAATAATAGAATGATAATGTAGCACTCACCGTGAAAAGCGTCGTGGCGGATACTTGAGATTTTGTTGTGGTCCAGATTAATGGAGGCTAAGGCGTTGCTCTGGGAGGCGATAGTGTATTCATCCAAAATAGAAATCTCATTTCTCTGCAGATCTACTAGAGTAAGATTTTGTAAATTCCAAAAGAAATTAACTTGGAGGAGTTCGATTTGATTTCGTGCCAAATATATTTCCTGTAACGCTGGTGGACCAAGGAAGTCATCGAGTTGTATTCCTCCATTGCCATTGATGCTGAGAATTTCCAGTGAGTCAGACTGGATTTCTGGCAGCGATGGGATCTGATTATCATCAAGTATCAGCGTCTGAAGCGATGGATAGAGTTGAACGCTAATAAAAGGAAAGTGTTTTATCTTATTGTTTTGGAGGTTTAAGTATGTGAGAGTCTCGTGGGAGCCGTAAAAGTCCTCCTCAAATATAATTTCTATCTTGGTACCGCTGATAATGATTCGCTCAAATGTTAAATCCTGGAAGGTGTTGAGGCCGACTGTGTCTAGTGAGACGTTGGGATTTGCGTCTTGTTCTAATTTAAATTCCTTTAAATATGTGAAGGGAAACACTACATTCTCAAATGCTTGAGCTAATTCTTCATTGGTTTCAACTAAAGAGCAGTCTATGCTCAGAGTGTGGTCAAGTTCATCGTAGATACACAGACATGGATAGAAATCGTTAGCATCGGGACATGGCCAGTCCCGAGGCTGTGATATGGGGTCCTCGCTGGTGATGACTGGAGTCACCACCACACCGAGCACCACCACACACGTCACCACAACCTTCAGCACCATCTAGCAGCCAGTGTCTCCCGGTGTGTGTCTCAGCAAGATAACTCGTCACAGCACACAACTCTTCTTATACCCAGCCTCACTTATCTTATCACACACCACAGAATAAAACCCATCCATGCCTTACAGTAATTAAAAATGTTGACAATATAGGCAGATATTAACACGGAAAAAACTTACTAGAAATAAAGTTTGGGGTAATCAGTCCCTCAGCCTGAAGTCGATGTCTTCAATTAATCAGTCTTTATTAAGATTGATGGACTAAAAACATCGACTCCAGACGGAGGGACTGATTACTTCAAACTCCTCATTTCCCACCTTTCTCTGCACTGCACTGATGAAGCCACTGGTTGGCGAACCGTTCCACAAACATACCCAAGTGTTGAGCAAGTGTCTCATTAGTTTGAGAGTTTAGCAGAAATTCGAAATTAATATAAGTGAAAAGGGTTATGGTTGAGGTAGACCTGCCTAGCATAGGCCAGTAGACCTCTGATTCCTGTCAAGATACATAACTAACAAGAGTCCATACTAGTGAATGTATATTCATACAGTGTGGAACATATGTATACAGGGACAGATCTACTGTGAAGGTAATGAAGCTCAGGCTTGAGGGCCCCTAATCCTGGAGGGGCCCAGGAAGCCACTTTATTAAACACTGCTTAAAAATTTTGTGTCTACTGTATGAGAAGGGGTTGCAAAGGGGCCCCCATAAAAGTTCAAGCTTCAGGGGCCCCTATAACAATTCAAGCTTCAGGGCCCCTATAACAATTCAAGATTCAGGGTCCCCATAACAGTTTAAGATTCAGGGCCCCCATAACAGTACAAGCTATAGGGCCCCATAACAGTTCAAGCTTCAGGGCCCCCATGACAGTTCAAGCTTCAGAGCCCCCATAACAGTTCAAGCTACAGGGCCCCCATAACAGTTAAAGCTTCAGGGCCCCATAACAGTACAAGCTTCAGGGCCCCATAACAGTACAAGCTTTAGGACCCCTAACAGTACAAGCTTTAGGGCCCCATAACAGTACAAGCTTTAGGGCCCCATAACAGTACAAGCTTTAGGGCCCCATAACAGTACAAGCTTTAGGGCCCCATAACAGAACAAGCTTCAGGCTCCCATAACAGTTCAAGCTTCAGGGCCCCCATAACAGTACAAGCTTCAGGGCCCCATAACAGTTCAAGCTTCAGGGCCCCCATGACAGTTCAAGCTTCAGAGCCCCCATAACAGTTCAAGCTTCAGGGCCCCCATAACAGTTCAAGCTTCAGGGCCCCCATAACACTACAAGCTTTAAGGCCCCATAACAGTACAAGCTTTAGGGCCCCATAACAGTACAAGCTTTAGGGCCCCATAACAGTACAAGCTTTAGGGCCCCATAACAGTACAAGCTTTACGGCCCCATAACAGTACAAGCTTTAGGGCCCCATAACAGAACAAGCTTCAGGCTCCCATAACAGTTCAAGCTTCAGGGCCCCCATAACAGTACAAGCTTTAGGGCCCCATAACAGTACAAGCTTTAGGGCCCCATAACAGTTCAAGCTTTAGGGCCCCATAACAGAACAAGCTTCAGGCTCCCATAACAGTTCAAGCTTCAAGACCACCATAACAGTACAAGCTTCAGGCCCCCATTAATGCAGGTGCGCCACTCCACGGGTACACAGTACCGAAAAGATAAAAAATTAGTCACATGTGCAACATGTGGGTATCTATATGGCACACGTTCCTGGATGGTGATACGTCAGCAGATAAAGATACCCAGATGTTACTTGTGCGTCTAATTCTTAACTGCAGAACACGACCAGCAGTGAGAAAATTATCCCGATGTATAAGGGATACGAAGAGATCTTTTAGAGCCTTGTAGAGAGAATACTTGTAGAGAGAATACTTGTAGAGTGAGAGAATACTTGTAGAGAGAATACTTGTAGAGTGAGAGAATACTTGTAGAGTGAGAGAATACTTGTAGAGAGAATACTTGTAGAGTGAGAGAATACTTGTAGAGTGAGAGAATACTTGTAGAGTGAGAGAATAATTGTAGAGAGAATACTTGTAGAGTGAGAGAATACTTGTAGAGTGAGAGAATAATTGTAGAGAGAATACTTGTAGAGTGAGAGAATACTTGTAGAGTGAGAGAATAATTGTAGAGTGAGAGAATACTTGTAGAGTGAGAGAATACTTGTAGAGAAAATACTTGTAGAGTGAGAGAATACTTGTAGAGTGAGAGAATAATTGTAGAGTGAGAGAATACTTGTAGAGTGAGAGAATACTTGTAGTGAGAATACTTGTAGAGTGAGAGAATACTTGTAGAGTGAATACTTGTAGAGTGAGAGAATACTTGTAGAGAGAATACTTGTAGAGTGAATACTTGTAGAGTGAATACTTGTAGAGTGAGAGAATACTTGTAGAGTGAGAGAATACTTGTAGAGTGAGAGAATACTTGTAGAGAGAATACTTGTAGTGAGAGAATACTTGTAAAGTGAGAGAATGCTTGTAGAGTGAGAGAATGCTTGTAGAGAGAATACTTGTAGTGAGAGAATACTTGTAGAGTGAGAATACTTGTAGAGTGAGAGAATACTTGTAGAGTGAGAGAATACTTGTAGAGTGAGAGAATACTTGTAGAGTGAGAGAATACTTGTAGAGTGAGAGAATACTTGTAGAGTGAATACTTGTAGAGTGAATACTTGTAGAGTGAGAGAATACTTGTAGAGAGAATACTTGTAGTGAGAGAATACTTGTAGAGTGAATACTTGTAGAGTGAATACTTGTAGAGTGAGAGAATAATTGTAGAGTGAGAGAATACTTGTAGAGTGAATACTTGTAGAGTGAATACTTGTAGAGTGAGAGAATACTTGTAGAGTGAGAGAATACTTGTAGAGTGAGAATACTTGTAGAGTGAGAATACTTGTAGAGTGAGAATACTTGTAGAGTGAGAGAATACTTGTAGAGTGAGAGAATACTTGTAGAGTGAGAGAATACTTGTAGAGTGAGAGAATGCTTGTAGAGTGAGAGAATGCTTGTAGAGTGAGAGAATGCTTGTAGAGTGAGAGAATACTTGTAGAGTGAGAGAATGCTTGTAGAGTGAGAGAATGCTTGTAGAGTGAGAGAATACTTGTAGAGTGAGAGAATACTTGTAGAGCGAGAGAATACTTGTAGAGTGAGAGAATACTTGTAGAGAGAATACTTGTAGAGTGAGAGAATACTTGTAGAGTGAGAGAATGCTTGTAGAGTGAGAGAATGCTTGTAGAGTGAGAGAATACTTGTAGAGTGAGAGAATACTTGTAGAGTGAGAGAATACTTGTAGAGTGAGAGAATACTTGTAGAGAGAATACTTGTAGAGTGAGAGAATACTTGTAGAGAGAATACTTGTAGTGAGAGAATACTTGTAGAGTGAGAGAATGCTTGTAGAGTGAGAGAATGCTTGTAGAGAGAATACTTGTAGTGAGAGAATACTTGTAGAGTGAGAATACTTGTAGAGTGAGAGAATACTTGTAGAGTGAGAGAATACTTGTAGAGTGAGAGAATGCTTGTAGAGTGAGAGAATACTTGTAGAGAGAATACTTGTAGACTGAGAGAATACTTGTAGAGTGAGAGAATACTTGTAGAGTGAGAGAATACTTGTAGAGAGAATACTTGTAGAGTGAGAGAATACTTGTAGTGAGAATACTTGTAGAGTGAGAGAATACTTGTAGAGTGAGAGAATACTTGTAGAGTGAGAGAATAATTGTAGAGAGAATACTTGTAGAGTGAGAGAATACTTGTAGAGTAAATACTTGTAGAGTGAATACTTTTAGAGTGAATACTTGTAGAGTGAGAGAATACTTGTAGAGAGAATACTTGTAGTGAGAATACTTGTAGAGTGAGAGAATACTTGTAGAGTGAGAGAATGCTTGTAGAGTGAGAGAATGCTTGTAGAGTGAGAGAATACTTGTAGAGTGAGAGAATACTTGTAGAGAGAATACTTGTAGTGAGAGAATACTTGTAGAGTGAGAGAATACTTGTAGAGTGAGAGAATACTTGTAGAGAGAATACTTGTAGTGAGAGAATACTTGTAGAGTGAGAGAATACTTGTAGAGTGAGAGATACTTGTAGAGTGGAGAATACTTGTAGAGTGAGAGAATACTTGTAGTGAGAGATATACTTGTAGAGTGAGAGAATACTTGTAGAGAGTGAGAGAAGCTTGTAGAGTGAGAGAATACTTGTTAGAGTGAGAGAATACTTGTAGAGTGAGAGAATACTTGTAGAGTGAGAGAATACTTGTAGAGTGAGAGAATACTTGTAGAGTGAGAGAATACTTGTAGAGTGAGAGAATACTTGTAGAGTGAGGATGCTTGTAGAGTGAGAGAATGCTTGTAGAGTGAGAGAATGCTTGTAGAGTGAGAGAATACTTGTAGAGAGAATACTTGTAGTGAGAGATACTTGTAGAGTGAGAGAATACTTGTAGAGTGAGAGAATACTTGTAGAGAGAATACTTGTAGTGAGAGAATACTTGTAGAGTGAGAGAATACTTGTAGAGTGAGAGAATACTTGTAGAGAGAATACTTGTAGTGAGAGAATACTTGTAGAGTGAGAGAATACTTGTAGAGTGAGAGAATACTTGTAGAGAGAATACTTGTAGTGAGAGAATACTTGTAGAGTGAGAGAATACTTGTAGAGTGAGAGAATACTTGTAGAGAGAATACTTGTAGTGAGAGAATACTTGTAGAGTGAGAGAATACTTGTAGAGAGAATACTTGTAGTGAGAGAATACTTGTAGAGTGAGAGAATACTTGTAGAGTGAGAGAATACTTGTAGAGTGAGAGAATACTTGTAGAGAGAATACTTGTAGTGAGAGAATACTTGTAGAGTGAGAGAATACTTGTAGAGTGAGAGAATACTTGTAGAGAGAATACTTGTAGTGAGAGAATACTTGTAGAGTGAGAGAATACTTGTAGAGTGAGAGAATACTTGTAGAGAGAATACTTGTAGTGAGAGAATACTTGTAGAGTGAGAGAATACTTGTAGAGTGAGAGAATGCTTGTAGAGTGAGAGAATGCTTGTAGAGTGAGAGAATGCTTGTAGAGTG